AGAAAAAATTTGTTAATAGCAGAGGACTATTGAGAGATAATAGGTTGGTCAATTTCTATATTTGTATTAGAAGCGTTTGTCGTTGGAGTTTCTTGTATAGAGATGAGTAAAAAGAGATTAGAAAGAGGGTTTAGTTGAGGTTTGGGAGTTATATTAGATTGTTGAAAAAAATTATCAATAGTACTAGTAAGTGAGAGTTGGATTTTGGTTTGTGTTTTAATTGAAGAGAAGAAAGTTTTGCTAGTTTAGTTGAGTTTTTGCTATTGTAGATGTTAGAGTATATAGGATCTAGATAGATCTTTTTTTATATTATTATTTGAAAGTCTTGATAGTTGTTCTATGCATTGTCTAATAATATCATTAGATGAGCCAGAGATGTAGGAAACTGATGAAAAGGTGTTAGTAATGTAGCTAGAGTGGTAATAGTTTTCACCATATTTAATAGAGTCACCTTGGAGTAAATGATAGTTGTTAATAAATTTAAAGTTGATTACTTGATTGCATGTTAAGCAAGTATAAGTGTAAATAAGAAGTGAAAGTGTAGTTGGTATTTCTTTAGTCTATGTTTTTTATTTAGAATTGGAGATTTCAAAATTGTTTGGGTTGTATCTTTAAGTTTTTGTATGAGCTTTTTTGTTTGTACACCTGATATAGTAGCATTTATATTGATATTAAAATCATAAATTTTGTCATCTTTAGCTACAAAATTAGTGTGATATTTTTTGCAAAAGCAAGTAATTGTAGTAGTAAAAAGTGGAGCAGAGAAGTAGGTATAACTTTTTAAGAGTTGCAAAAATTCTTGTTAGAGCAAGCTATTAGTTTAAAGCTTTTAGGAATTGCTTTGGCAACTTCTGGTTTGTCTTTATATATTGCAACTTTATAGATTTTGGAGTTGTTTTAATAGAAATGGTTAAGATCGAGGGTATTTAACTTTTGGTTTGTTAAAGTAAGCATTGCTAATTAGGGGTATAAATTTTGTATAAAGAGTATATTGCTAGTATATGCTGAAATTAGTAGTTAGAAGTGTATTTAGAGTGACAAATAATTAAAAGGTATGACAAATAATTACTAGGTATGACAAATAATTATGAATGCATAACAAATAATTATAAAGATATGACAAATAATCACTAAGAGTAACAAATAATCACTGGGTATGACAAATAATCATAGAGTGCCAAGTAATTACAGGTCTGATCTTAACAAATTGCAGATATGTGTATTATATTAATTTGGTTGGTGCTAAAGGTTACTCCATTTAAACTTAATAAGGCTGATTTTGTTAAGATTTTAATCTTGTACAAATTAAAAGAAAATTAAATATAGTTAGAATAATTGGAGGTACACTCCTAAGATTTGAAACTCAGGCAATATGAATTACATAGTAGAAAGTTATACAGAAAACATATTAAAGTGTATTTTAGGAGGCAAAATACAAAAGGAAAAAAAAGAGAAGTGAAGGGAGTTTGAAGTTTTTTAAATATAACTTTATTAGTTTTGGATCTACAAGCTTGAGCTATAGCTTGTTATAACAGAGATAGTTAGCTCTTTAAGCTTGGAAAGAAGGTTCAAATAGCAGTTTTTAAGTTATTTGTAATTTTTAAGGAAAAAAGCCAAAAGATCATTTTTCAATAAGTTTGAAAAGTTTAAAGCTAATACTTAAATATTATATATATTTTTGTATAAAGAAGAAATTTATTTAGTAAGATTAACTTAGTAAAGAAAAAAGTTATAAGCTGTTTTTAATTAATTAGATTAGAGAGAGTTTGTGTATGAGTGATAGACAGTGAGAGTTTTTTTGTAATTTTTTCTATTTATAATATGATTATATAATAATATAATATTTATTTGTTAAAAATATTATACAAAAGTATTATTTTCTATATGATTAGCTAGTAGGTTTTAATTGCATATCAAAATCATGATTTAAAAATTTTAAATTTGCAACTTTACATATTTTAATTTCTTGACAAGTTTGCTTTTTTTTTGCTAAATTATACAAATAAATATAAATTGTTTGATTTTAACCACATAGTTTATCTATTAAATATTAAATCTAACTCATTTAATATTAATAAATATATTAAAAATTTTATAATAATAACAATTAAATAAATTATAAAAATTTTACATCTGTAAATCCAAACCTATATTGCTCTATTTATCAATATAATAAATAATATCAATTTCTTATTCACTTGTTGATGGGTATTCAATTGGAGTTTATAAGTAAATTACTTTTTTAGTAATTAAACTTTTTATAGAAAAAAATTATATTTTTATTCTACTGTATATTAAATAAAGTTAAACTAAGTGTTTCTTGAAAAAAGGAATTAATAGAAGATATATTTAATTTTTCTTCAAAATTAAGTTCATTCCTAAAGCCATTATTGATACCAAAAACTCTTTCGGTAAAATTGTTTTATTAATAAATAAGACAAACAATTTTTTTTTTTATTCCAATAAAAGTATTTATAAGCCTTATATTCAACCACCATCCAATATTGTTGATTTAGAAGACTGCAACCAATTTCTTAATTTGGTGGCTTTTTTGAAATAGTTTCAAGAATTATTTGTAAAAATCTAATTATAGAAATATATATACGTAATATAGAGTCTCATGAGTTATTATTTTTAGAACTATTAATTAAGCTAACGTTAGCAAGTTGATTTAAAACTGTTTCTATATCTGGACGCTTTGTAGGATCTTCATCCCAACATTGCTTGTAAAGTTGTTCGAATTCAGGTGGAGTGCCTTCAACAGGTGTTTCTCTCCCTCCTTTAAACACATGAATAGTGATTGCATATCCGACTTCGTAAGTTCCGAACGGCGGTCGTCCACTGGAGATCTCCCAAAGAATAACACCAAGACTATATATGTCTGATTTCATATCTCGTTGATATGTAGGGTCTTTAAAACATTGAGGATCAATATATGCTGGCATTCCCCGAGCAATTGAAGTTGAAAGTGATGCTTCATTCACATATTCGGATATACCAAAACCTGCTAGTATCATCTTTTCTTCGTAAACCAGGATATTCTTTGAATGCTATAAGATAATAAAAAACAATTATTTATGGATTATCAAATAGATCAATTTCGATAAAATAAAAATAATTCTTACAAGGTCACAGTGAGCAAACCCGTTTTTATGTAGGTGATCGAGCCCATTTGCTATTTCTTTAGCAATTGATAATTTTCTACCCCACTGTAATTTGGAATTATTTTTTATCAAGTAATCACGTAAATTTCCTCTGTTTGCAAATTGTAAAACCATAGCGTAATACTCGCTAGAGGGATCCATTGGTTCTGTTTATTAAATATTTATGTAAGATTAATTGTTTAAAGTAGTTCAATAAATGAAGTTTTTAAAAATTTACAACATCGAGAATTTATTCATAAATAAACCTCACTAAAAACAATATTTCATAGTTAAAAATAATTATACCTTTCGTTAATCCGTAGAGTCTAACAACATTTTGATGTAAATTATTTTGCAAAAGTTTAAGCTTTGAAAAAATATTAATATCTGATTAACATTTAAAATATTATAAGATAAAATAGTAAAAGTAAAATTTATACCTTTTTAATAAACTCTTTGACTATTTTTTCGTCTAAGTATTTATCTTTGATCATAAGACATTTAAGAATAACGGTCGATTTCCATTCACTCCATTCAGATTTATATACTGTGCCAAATCTTTCCTCGGCTATCTTTTGATGATCACTAAATACATGGGGTTCATAATAATGTATTATTTGACTCGAGGAAGCTTTGTTAAGCAACTTTCTGAGAGTGCTTTCCTCATTCACATGAGGATCTGTTGATTTATATATCAGGCGATTTAAAGAATCATGAATCTCTTCCATTTTAGGACGGTTTTCCGGATCTTCATCCCAACATTGTGTATAAAGGTTAATATATTCAGCTGGAGTGCCTTTAACAGGTGTTTCTCTCTCTCCATTGTATATTCTAATAGGAATCAGCAATCTCTTCAAAGTATAAAAAGGCTTTTTTCCACTAGATATTTCCCAAAGAATAACACCCAAACTATAAATATCTGATTTAGCAGTGCGTTTGTATGTAATGATTTTAAAACATTGAGGATCAATAAATGCAGGCATTCCATTAATATTTGAGTTAGAATCTAACATATCAGTAGTCACTAATTTAGATAAACCAAAGTCAGCGATCATCATTTTATTATCATGAACCAAGATATTTTTTGGATGCTATAAAATATAGTCGATTAATTTAAATAAACGAATCTAATAGTCCTTTAAAATTAAATATTAAAAACACTTACAAGATCTCTATGAATAATATTATTACGGTGCAAGAACAAGAGACCTGATGCTATTTCTTCCGCAATACGAAGTTTATCCTCCCATCGTAATATTGAAAAATTTTGACTCAGAAATTCACGCAAGTTTCCATTATTGGCAAATTGAAGAACCAACTTGTAAATACCATCAAATGGATCTATTTTTAGTGACCATTTATAGATATAATATAAGCATTTGAAATATATTCTAGCATAGCCTGTCGTTAATCTTATGTATATGTAAAATGAAACCTTTAGTTACGCCATAGAAATGGTTTATTCTAGGATGAAAGCTTACTCTTCTCAAAATTTGAAGCTTTGCAAACATGTAAATAATTAGAACAATATAACAAAAAGGTTTCAATTAAAGTTAAAAATTTTCCATACCTCTTTCACGAATGCTTCTATAGTCTTTCCTTCCGTATCGTTATTTTTTAAACTTTTAAGAGCAACTATTAATCCACCACCACTTTTCCATTTGGATTTGCTTACAAGACCAAACCCGCCATTCATAATTTCTTCATTGCCTTCAAACTCATTATAATCAAAATAATTAATGCTACCTTCTTTAATAGCTTTTTCAATTGTAAAGGGAGGTTTTCCTATTGCTTTAAAATAGTTTGTCGTCATAATGGGATCCAAGATAGTATCAGGTATATCAAATTTTAAATTTTCTAAGTCTTCGGGGAAAAGAAGAAAACACCACTGGAGCAAGTATTCGTGAACACAGTTGTCTTCAGATACATTGCTGTCATTTTTATCATCATTGCTGAGATGTATATTAATTATATTTCCATTACCAATTTCATTTTGAAAAGTAAATTTCATTCCACAATGCGATGAAGGATGCAAGACAGATACATAAACAACAGAGTTTGCTGGTAAATCTTCCGGAACGTCTAACGGATATTTATAAATGTTATTACATTTAAACAGATGACAACCTAAATTCTGTACGGAGATATTTCGTGTATGTGGACTGAAATATCCAATTTCAGAGGGTATTCCAATCATTATCCAAGTTATATGCGAACCTGTAGACTTTCTAAATACAGTAATTAAATAAAGAAAATTAGATATGTCACACTGAAGTAAAAATAATAACTGTAACTTACTTATTTGTATAAAAATTTTCTATTATCGCTGAAAATCCTGATATACTCATAGATTGAAACTTGATAACTGATGTATCAAGCGATTTACCATTTTGTGTTATGAGTTTTCCAAAAATCTTATAACTATCGGAACTCAAATTGAAGCCAAAATGATCGCTAAATTTTACATGGTAGTGATAGGTGGAATCTTTAATTGGAATTAATCCTGTCAAAAGCACTCTTTCTTTAAGTTTTTCTGCTTGATCATCAATTTCAAGTAAGCTCTTGATTTCTTTTTGAAGTTCTTTATCAAATATTTCATATAATGGATATAACCCCTTCCAACTTATGACTTTCCATGAGTCGATTTTGCTTTCAAAACAAGATTTTACCCATTCTTCAAGTCCATCTTTCATAATTTTATCATTATTTATTGATGTCAAGAAGGAAGTGTCAAAGTCATTTTTATCTCTCATAATGATACCATTACCGTCTTTCGTTGATGTGCCAGGGTCATGTAATCTTATATATTCTTCCCATTGATTAAGAATATCGTTATTGTTACTGTACTTTACAGAGTCAAAATCTTTCTGATCCAGTAATTGGCACGAATCATCTTTCATGATTAAATAACATGATCTATATGCTTTGTGCCCTAAAATGATACTTTTTGGTAAAAAGTACCCATATGTTTTAAATACCTTTGATAATTCTTGATAAGGATTGTGATGTTGTATCGCTGTGTTTACCGCATTTGTTAGCTCCTTCGAGGGTTCTAATTTTCTATCTTTGAAATTTAATTCTGCTCTTGGGCACATTATTCCTAAATAAACATGTAACTTATTTGATTCATTTGAAAAAAATTCATTAATATTAGATATCAAGCTATTATGTTCCGGATCAATGTCAGAAGGATCAATATTATTATATAATAAAAATGAATCATTGCGCTTTGTAGAAAGTATTAATTTTACTTGACAGCCTAATTTTAAGAATTCAGGTTGTATTTTAGAATTGTATGCTGCCTCATCAGCAGTTTGTACTCCTTGTTCGCTGAATAATAAGCCATGATCTAAATTTTTGCTTTCAGACATATGAGCTTGGCAGGATGTTAATTTAATATACCAATATTGTAAAAGCTCGACTAACTTAACAATATGACGGACAACTACAATCCGTATTCAAATAACCATATCGGTACTAAATTTAGCCTGCACGACGTGACAGATATACACATTTGTAACACTAGTGTGTCATATAATAAATTGCCTATCAAAAACCAGAAAGCACACACGCACAGCATTTAGTGACCATAATGAAGTAGCACGAAAGTTAATTTAAAAATTTCAATCATTTTATTTAGAATAATGACCAATTGACGCATTGAAAATAAGCTAAATTCAGTAGCGGCTTGTTTTTGTTGTCACTATACACATATCTACATGATCCTTAGGCGTACTATTCCATACAAAAAGAGATTGTGAATTCTAGATCCTTCACTTGATGATTTGTGGAATTTATTTTCAATGTGCTACGTACTATTTTTGCATTATCTTATCTTTATACGTAGAGATAGATTTAGGTATTTGCATTTCCTGCTTACTCGAATTATAAGAGGAAAGAACCAAATAAGGACATTGTACTAAGTTCTTTTTTTTTTTTGTCAAGATAGCAAATAGTATTTTAATTTTGTATAATGTACTTTTTTATTAATACTTTTTATTTCTAGTTTGGATTATACTATACAGAATCTTTCAATTCTGCAAATATTAATATCTATATAACTTCCCGAAATCAATTTTACTGAAATATAATTTCGCCGAAATCATAATACTGACATCCAATTTTACTAATAAGACATAATTCCGAAAGTCCCATTTTACCGAAAATCATTTACAGCTGTTCTCATAAATTCTGGGACAACAGATAAAAATTTGGTCGAAATTAATTTGGCGAATTCGATAAGCTTTTGATCTCGGTACATAAGCTTTTGGTTTCGATATATTTTGGACAAATATTGATATGGACAATGGGACATGGACATTTATGCACTATGTCCATATTGTCCATATTTTTTCATTGGACATAGGGCACTTAGTCCAAATCAAACACGTAAGCACCTGTTCCGAAGTGTTCTAAATGCAAATATGATTTTGGTGCTACAATATAAGTCGTTAAACAATATGTATATATTATTAATATTATTATATTATCTTATCTATTATTGTTATTGCACGTACGTATCATAGAAATTATTGGAATGAATACAAAATGCGAATAATCACTGGAATTATGATTTTTATAGCCTTTTATTTATTATCCCATACGCTAAAGTTATACTTTGTACTTTCAATAATACTTTCAAACGTATTCGTTGGCAAATTGTCGAAAAAAATTTAGAAGGTTTCTCAGTTCGAACAATTCCCAAACACTTAGGTTTACTTAATTTATACTGGTTTTCTCAACCTAGTTACAATTCTCCTGAGTCAATTAACAAAGTCTTGATCGGTTTGACCTTTTCTTTTATTAGCACCAGATTGTGTAATATGTTTATTAAGAAAGTTTAACTTATGGCTAGAACTTCTTTTGCATTTCAAGTGCGAATCTGTCAGTTGACAAGAACAATCATTGCTGTATGTTTTCGTGCAGACTAAGCGTGTTATACAAATTGGACAAGCATTAAGACGAAAGCTTAATAAATCAACATACACTATCGTGTTAGAATAAAAGTAGTACATGTAATACAGAAATTTCTTTTTATACTGTATATTGATGAATCAAAAGCTTATGTACCCGAGACATATGGGCGAAAATCTCCAGTTGAAACACAGTGATTATTAAAATTTATAAGTAATTAGGTCACAATTAGGTACATACGTGCAAAAATTTATAAGCATCAGGTTACAATCAGGTATAAATTTATGAGTAAATTCATAACGATAAGCGATTCATAAGCAATTCATTATCGGGCTTACAATCTCTGATCAAAAAATCACTTTTATTCTCAATAATCATGCCATATCACATAAATGATTGGCTCAAATTTTATTTAACCTAATCACTCACATTAAATAATCATGAAATTGGAAATTTTCGCCCATATGCGGTATTTCCAAACGCCGGCTCAGATCCTGAGATATATTATAAATTCTGATATTCTGCGTATTTTTTGGAATTCTGTGATATTCTGCGGTGACTAAGGGTGATTTCTTTGGTTGGCCGCATTAAAAGAAATTCTGCTGTTTTCTGTGAATCACAGAAAATCATCGGCCCTGTCTGGGATCAACCCACAAATACCCAACGACCCAAGATATTATTATTACGAATATCCCAGCTCAAGCTGTTTGTGATGTATATGTGGATTCAAAAGTCATGACTGGAACACGTTTAGGCCACAATCAGCAATTTTGCCAGCGGGTGACTCGTACCCACAGGTGACCCGCGGTTGACCACCCGGGTGTCATAATTCAACCCGGGTCGGAACACTACGATTTAGTATGCAAATTGTTTCTTTTTTTAAAATTTTGGTTGATTCAGGGCGTCAAAACTCACATGACCGACAATTCCTATTTTGATCATCAATAAAACGCGTAGCTCCTTTTTTTTTTTGTATTATTAAAACAGACTTCAATAGCATAGTTTTTATCATTTTTGTTTTTATAAACTTTTTATTTTTGTACTTATTCCAAAGACACTTTTAAAAAAAACCCGAAGTGTTATCATAGGTTAGTAATTTTCACTTTACAACGTGGGAATCTAACGAGTCATAGCCATGGTGTGCACATGACGCGAGGCAAAGACGGCAAGAACAACGAAGACGGCAAGGACAATGAAGTGATGATTAGAAGAGAGGTGGGGAATGGATATGTGCACACATTGCTATGAGAGGTTAATTTAATACGAGAGGTGGATCTAAGGTCTGCTCAAGCATTTATCTCAAATGCAACGTTAACGTTAAAAGAGATGGTACAAAGTACCAGAAGGATGATGAGCCAGCTGTAAATTTTTAATTTTTTCACGGATTCTGACGTCGAGAACCTATATTCTTTTGGTGGAGAAGAGTCAAATTCAGAACAATCTTCCGACGTGTCTTCAGATTCTGAACAACCTTCTAGTTCCGTTCCGGTAAAGAGAACTAGCTATGCACCTTTCTTAGAAAATGATACGCTCTTGTGGGATTAATTTTTCGTACTCACGGGCTGTAACTATCATAATACAGTACGACTTGAAGTTAACTATCCTTGGCACAGAATGATCAGAATTTTAACGTCGTTAATTATAAGTTAGCAATTTCACTTTATACCATTCAAATGCTTTCTTTTCATCTTTATGATCATCTGATCTAAAAATAAAAAGTTTATAAAAACAAAAATGAGCTGTGTTTTATTGATCAAAATAGGAATTGTAGGTCATGTGAGTTTCGACGCCCTGAATCAATCAAAATTTAATATACATATATATTTTTCGAGTTTCAGTTTTATTTTTATTACAGCATGATGGGTACAAAATATTATTCATACTTAAGAGACTTAACGATTTGGGTCAAGTAATAAGATGAGAATTCGATAATCAGTATAAAAGTATTCAGTTTTGAAACGACTATTGATTTATATTTATTTATTTGATAGATCGAAATATGATGAAAAGCTTTACTAAAGTGAAATTTCTTTTTATATTATCCGAACCTTCTCACAAAGAGAACCATAAACACAAGTCATTGAAAAAAAATTGGATGAATTCCCTTTTCATTTTTTTCGGGAAACTCAACCTTCATAAAAAAATTCACCATATTGAAAATTCAACACAAATCCTCCACTTCATTGGGAAAACCCCTCCGTTTGGATAATCTTAGACTCAAGATATAAATAATTCTTCGCGCCATCTCCTTCACGACTGACACGAATAAGATCTTTTATCAAAAAAAATACTTTCATCAGTTTTTTCGTAACTTACTATTTTTGGAAATGATGATGTTTGTACGTACGTACTAAAAAAGGGATTGATCAAGAGATTCAAGAAATTTACAGGATCTAGAGCGTGAATTATAAAAAAGAAATTCAGGCGAGAGATTCAGACAATTTACAGGACCTAGAGCGTGAATTATAAAAAAGAAATTCAGGCAAGAGGTTGAAGAAATTTACAAGATCTAGAACATGAATTTCAAAAAATTTACAGGGCCTAAAGCGTGAATTATAAAATGATTTTTATTCCCTTATTTTTTACGTATTATTACTAACTAGCAGTTAAGCACGTTCAAATGTTCATACTTAATTTAAATATTTTTTCATATGTTTAAATGGTTTCAGTTCTTAGTTATAATCTGCTTGCTTATAGTATTCTTTAAATAAGCTGAAGTTTTTATACGATGCATGTCCATCTTAGGTGACTATAACGAAGATAACGTGTTGATATCATGCTTTATTCATTCATTTTCATTACAATTCGCTTTTCTGTATCAGTCATGAACTTGTTAAATTAAATATATTTATGAATTTATATATCTTATTTTAAATACTTAGATGAATAAATATTCTTTATAAGTCACGCCTAAATTATCATGAAAAAAATATTCAAGAACTTGAGTATCTTAATGCTCTTTGTATTCGCAATACAAAAAAAAAAAAAACTATAAATACAGTAGTAAATATTCATAAATTTGAATATATAGTTTATTTTAAATAATTAGATTACTTGTAAAAATGAATTAAGTAAAAAATGTGCTGTAATGGTCATCGAAAAAAAAAAAATACTGATATTCCAGATTCATGGATACCGATCACACTTAAGGGTAACTTAAGGGTCACTCATTTTAAACCTGGGTTCAATCTATCGAAATAGTATTGGCACAATCAATGATGCAAGACGGCATTTGAGTGTATTCGAAAAATGCTGAAGTGACGATTTGAATGGAGAAAATGACCTAGGAAATTGTGATGTGAAGAGTGCCAATGAAGTGAATTATCCTGGACGAAGCGATGACATTAGAAATTGAACGTGTTGATGGGTACTCTGCAATGAAATAGGAAATGATGGAATAACGATGAAGAGAAGTTCAAGTCGCCGATATCAAATGATGTTGTATTGTATGCTAGAAGTATTAGAAATAAATGATTGAAAGGTCAATCAAAGATTATTTACAAAGTATTCGTATTGATCAAGTTGCAAAGCGATGATGGATGATATCGAACAGTAATGGATTCTATAAACGACTTCACCTGGACCATGAAATTAGAAATGATATAATTCTATGTAGTTGTTAAACTATCTGCTTGCCTTTTGGGATTTTAGTAGACAAAAGTTGGAAAGTTTAACTTTGCAATGCAAAAACTTTTTAGATTCAGTTTAACTACTATAATTTTATATTTATAACATTTTAAACTAATTGCCTCCTTGCAAACTGATCGATACAAAAATCGAAAATGATCAAAGTTAATAAGGTATATGAAACGAAATAAATGAAGAAAGTTTATTAAAAAAAACTTCAGAAATTTTATTGAAAAATCAATAACTTTTTCAATCTCATCTACGATATTTATAGTTATTGTTACTACTGTTACTACTAGTAATTATTACTTATATTATATACCAGTGACAACATTATATTAAATAAAATTTATCAACAAATAATTTAAGTAAATGATTTGTAGTTCAAAATGCATTATATATTGAAGAGGTGAAAGCGATACAAATTGCCAATCATAAATATATAGTACTCTTAAAAATTAAAATCTTGTGCATAGAAAAGAAGCAAAGAAAGATATAAAAGAAAAAGCCGATGAAAACATAATTAACAAAAAAATAAAAAAAAGCCTTTTGACAAGCGATTTCGAGGTCTCTACAAATTCTTCCTTCTTTTGTGAGAATGATAATGTGTACGGACGCCCTGGCTCTTCTTATCGCATCATCAGAAAATCTTCCAAAGTCTGAGATTACAATAACACCGATGGCTCCCCTATTTTCGGGTTGAGAGAGTGCCCCATCCAACTCTCGAATAACATTGGGTCCTGTGATGAATAATATTTATTAATATCATATTCTATCGTAAATAAGCACCACTCCCTCGACCCCACTTTTTTAAATGTCAGATTAGCGGAAATCGCAATGAGATCTTTAGCCAAGTTATTCTCGCTAATCTGATATTTAAAAAGTGGGTAGAAAGGGTGGTGCTTATTTACGGTAGAATACGATAGACATTAATAAATATTTTATACAAAAACTTGTTTACCTATTTGATGTCTCCAGAGTTTGCACTGGACCACGAAATCTATACAAAATATGCGTCCACGTATGTCAACGCCCCCGTCATTTCTACCACTAAAAAGCAAATAACCAGATGAGTATATGCGTCATAATCGTCAGAGAACCAAGAAGAACGTTCACAATCACAGATAGTTGTGGCCACGAAGAGCTTTCAATTCATTGATTCGTGTATCCTATTCACCATAAATCCTGACAGCGTCAAACCCAGCATTTCAGGACATCAGAAACTGGAAGAACGTTCATGGTCTAAACCATGGCCACGAAGGTCTTTCAATTCCAGACATTTTACTCCGATAGTGGCAGCGTAACTTCGGATACACAACGATTCAACATATAACTCAGCGAAGAACACCCACCCGGTATGCTTACATATAATTCCGTAATTTCTTAACTTAATAGCAATTTCCAATTCAAAAACTAGCCCCCTTCTAGCAGGGGTTAAAGACATTTGTTTTTTAAAAAAAAGTTAATTCACAAACTTCACATCACAGTATTACTTAAATATCAAATAAAAATACATTAATGGGAATTTTTTCATTTTTCAATTTTTAATTTATAATTTATTTCAAATTTGTGCTACGCATGTGAGGATTTGTGGCCATTGTAATACTTTTTTCGCTGTAAAAGGAGATAGGGTTTCACGGAATTGAAATAGTATATGTGCTTGTGCTACCTTACACTACGCAGAGTTTTTTGATCAATGGAGGTTGATAAGAGATTGAGACCTCATGTCAAAATTTTACAAACTAAAACTAATATCCTACGTTATTTGACCTTGGCATCATTTTTGCAAGTGTCCCGACTTACGTCTTTATATATCTTTTTATATCGAATATTTACCAAGCTAATGAATCATCAAAGACCAAAATCAAAGCTGCAAAGATTGTAACGAAAGTATTTGACGATCAATTCTAAATTCTTATCGTTATATCAGATATAAACATTAACGTTAACGTTAATTGGACTTCTATTAGAATCACCGCAGCAAATCATATGATATCAAAATTAAACCCACTTTACAATATAAACTGCTCTTAAGGATTTTATTATTTCACTCTGATTTATTTCGAGTCAAAGGAGTGAAAATGCATGATCTTATTTAATCAATAAATAAAATTGATATTATTATTGAAGATAAAGATGATAACTCGATCGGTTAATATCAGTTTTTATCTCTACGTCCCCAAAACCTTTTCTAAACCTTAATTCTGGCACCAAATACTAACTCCAACGAAAAATTTGCTAAAAATTTTATATAAAAAAGCTTTATAAAAACTTAGAAAAATATATAAAAACATATAATGAGTGCAAAACCACAATAGGTGCGTTTTATAATAAATGTTTTTTTTTTATGATAAAAAAAAGTCGCCATTCGATTTATGAACAATTATACCAATTTTAAAATTTCCAACGTAAAAATACAACTGAAAGTATCGAAATAAAACCATTAGTCAACTAAGTTGGCTAAGCCAACAAATTTTTCAGCTGACAATAAATAATAATAATTACTAAGGGTGTTCTCAAGCACTCAAATTAGTAGAAAATTATGTTATATGATTGACTGAAAAACTTAGATAAAAAGCTGGAGCTGCAATTACCATTTTTTTTTTTTCAGAGTTGCATAAATCAATAAAATTTACCATTACAGCATTAGGGGGTTTCAAAGTTAAATTCAGAGAATCTTATTTTACTTTTCCGATTTATAATTCAACATAGTAAAAATGCTATTGACAAAATCCTATTTATTTCCGAAATGCGTCACTTATTTGTTAACTTTGAAACCCCCAATTAATAGATTATTCAAAAAGACTTCTCAAACATATTCTTTCATTTGTAACTTTTTTATAATATGGATCTTTAGCAAGACTTTATCAATATCAAAGAATTATTGCGTATGCTTTGTTCTTCATACTAGAGACTCTTATAGCAATAATCCGCTCAAAATTAATATGCAAGGAACAACCATTTACTATCTTCTAGTTATTAAGTTATTCTTCTACTATTTATTTCCGGCACCTTTGGCTAGTCGGCATTCTTCAAACACATGACCAGTTGTAACTTTGCTTTTCGTGTTTATGCTACGAGTTTAAATTGTATTCGATAAAATTAGGATATTGCCAAAATTACTATATGACGACCAAACCAGATGACAATTAGAATTCTATTAGGTATTTGTAATAGTTATATCCTGGGTACTATGTGTATAAGCGGGGCTGAAAGTCCCGCTTATACCCAACTGCCCAGGATATAACTATTACTTATATAATGATATTGTTTCGCGACATTGAAGATAAATCATCATTTACTGACGCAGTTTCAAGTGGACTTAAAGTAACATATACAAATAATATAAAAATGAGAAATTATTGGCATTTAAAAAATATTATCATAGCTTTTTAACCTTTTAATTAAAGATCCTTATGATTTTAAAGCCGCTATAATTCGAGAAAATCAACCAATCCCTTTGCAATGTGGAATATTTTACTTTGAAATTAAAATTATAAATAAAGGAAAATACAAACATTATCTCTGTTCTTGGAATCTTCTTTAATTCTATTTCTTGATAGAATGATTGGATTCAGATTTTGTACAAAGCAAAGCGATAAAAAAATATAATGAATCAATTACTGATTTAAATAAATTATTAAAAATTAAGCCTGGTGATGAATGGGTAACAAAAGCCCATAGAATAGTTGAGTATCTGTAAGTACATTTTCCAACAAATAACATTCAACCACATACGTTATAGTTATTGTATGGGTTGTAAAAAATAACTAAATTTGCACGGGGTTACATGGCCGAAGGCCATGCCGTGCAAATTTAGTTATTTTATAACCCATATAATAACTATATATTTATTCTAATTAATATTTTAGAATGAAAATCAACATAAGCATGGGGCAATTTGGCAATTGCGATTTATAGAATAACTAAAAACCCAAAAGATGGTAATTACATGATGGTTATGGAGTATACAAAGCAATGAAGTCTCCGAAAATTTTTAGATAATAAATATAATGAATTTTATTGGGCTTCAGAAGTAGCCAACTTATATCACATAGCTGTTAGGCTTAATACAATTCAGTAGAGCTCCAATCCGGATAAATCCATCATCCGTTTATCCGTATCTAATTATCCGGATAATTCAGATCGCTCAGTTATCTGGATAATCCGACAGGTTACGGATAATTATCCGGATATCAATAGTAAATGGATAGTAAATGGATATCCGAATAATGCTTAATGGATAGGAACTCCACAATTCACAAAAATCAGCGTTAGTACACATTCCGTTGATGTAGCCAGTGTCACATGATTCAAATTCTGAAGAATTCTTTGGTGTACTTCCTATATTGCACCAGAAGTATTATATACAAATGGAAAGGAATACGCTCAAAATTCATTCGAAATAATTAGAAGTTTTTACTGGGATATCGGTCAAGCGAAATGTTAGAAAATTTTCAGGGTAATGATTTAATTAAAGGATCAGCACATATGAAATAATAGGACTATTTAGATGTTTTATAAGATGACAATTTTCGCTTCTAAGCTATCCTAAAATACAACTGACATTCTTCATTATTTCATATTTTTAAATGGTCTATATTTTTTTCCTCTTACGCTAAAATCTTTGAAGCATCTTATTTTGAAATGGTACATATTAATGAAATCAAGTTTGAAATTTGATTGGTTGACACGACCAATTTACAAAATATATATTAACACGTCTAAAAAAAATTAGAAATTTAGATTTAATACAGAAATATTATTAGCATTTATTCATAATACTTTTAATGAGTTCTTGACCAATAGAAATATGAATAGTTAAACACCTCTTAACGATTGTGTGAATTATGTATCGAGGTACAAAGATAAAAAATATTTGGTATCAAAAGCTTTAGAATTCAAATCTACTTTATAAAATCATCTTTTGGTTGATTTTTATTTTATTTTAAATGCTTCAGCCTTTACCAAAACCAGACAGTATAGAAAATTTATATATCGGGCACTTCATTAAGCTCAATAGAGTGACTTATTGCTAGAAAAATAAAGTTAGGAATTAGTTAGTCTAACTTATAATTCACGATAAAAAAAATATATTCAATGCAAAAGACTAAATAAAGTCTTAACCAATTTAATTCTTGAACTATTCATTACATAAAGTCACTGCACATTAAAATATAATTTTAAGGCCAATGTTTTGAGAGATAACATGCTTACCTGAATTTACTGGTTTAGGAAGTTTTTGAAAATTCAAAGATCGACTTGTATAAATAGCTTGTTTATGTG